GGACAGTCCTGATCTCTCTCTCGATGACAGCCTTGTTTTGATCAACATAGGCTCGAGAGGTATTGTGCCTGCAGCCAATCCGTTTAACAGCATTTTCAAGCTCAAACGCATTATCGGAGTACACTATACCAACACTATCCTCAACTTGAAGAAAGTGCAGCAAGTTTTCGTAGCACTCCTCAGCGTTCTTGGAAACGGCCGGGTAAACATACCTGAAGTTGGACCAGACATCCTTAACCACGAATGCAACCTTTTCCCCCTCGAACCCAAAGTCTCGGAAGTCCTTCGTGATGACATGGTCGATCGTGATGTGGTCCCCGAATTTCTTGGATGCGATAGTGCTCGATCCTCCCTTCTTTCGTGCATGAGGGGCCATCATTTTTGCCCTTTGGCACACTTTACAGAAAGGATTCTTGGGTCGATGGGTGAATTTGTGGGCAGCAGTCTCGGCTTCCAGCCTAAGTTTTTCGGAACCTCCTACGTCATCGGGCGCTTCATCGTGATCACTATCAGGTTCAGGTTCGGGATTGTCAGGTGGTCTTTCGAAGATCGAAATTGAGAGGATGGTCGGCTCTTCGAACTTAGCAACCTTTTGCGGAAGTTCTCTCATGTCGACCTTGTTCTCGATCTTGGACCATTCACCTCCCCTGAAAACCCAAGTTGTCCTGATCACGAAGCTAGGATGTCTCGACGCAGGAGTCCTGAAGGCTTTGGGTCTGTGTCCGATGATTACCTTACGGTGTTCTTCAGTTGCAGTCCAACCTGTTTTGCTTAGCTGTTCTTTGGAAATGGCGATCGGCGGCACCTTGGAAATTGCATCGCGGACCTCAGGATCAAGGTGCTTACCTGGGTCCTCGTCTTGTTCGTCTTCACCGGCGGGATGTTCATGCGCAGCACCGGCGAGCCCGCAAGGGCCGCTATCTACTGAAAAAGCGAGCTGCCCCCCTGGCTGAACACCGGGGAGACAATGTTACTCTCCTCTTCGATAGCCGGAGTGGCAACAGAGCCTTCTGCGATCACAGGGACCCTGCCTTTGAGTTTGCACTTCAGCTTCCTGCCGTCGGGAGTGACAAAGAAAGGGACCTTCCCCGCATGCCAGTGGAAGTCATAACCCTCATCCATGCATCTGCGCCCGACAGAGCAGACAGGAGGAGTGCTTTCTAGTATGATAACACTCAACTGGGAGGCTCAGTTCAGGGATATCGACTTTGACAGATTGATCCCCGAGTACTGGGCCATTTGCTGTGATTAGGCTCACAGGCCTTGATGCAGTTTTGACCTCGACGCTCGGATAGTGAATCCTCAGATCCTCCTTGCTAATGAGGTCTTCCTCGCTACCAGTGTCAGCTAGGAACTCTAGGCCGGGCACTATGCCTGAGCAGGCAGGTGCGGGGGTGCGTTCGCATGACTCACATGTCAGGTCTTCACACATGTAACCACACTTAGTAGGTACGTCGTTCGTCATGCTGATCACCAATGCCTCAAGTTGCTTAGCTTCGATCCTGGCACGATTCTGTTCTTTCATGCTCGGCTTGGGGCAGTCCTCGGCGGTGGCGTAAGCCACGCTGAAACGACGTTTCCTCCTGATGTGCCTGAAGCCATCACCTTCCACAGGAATGGCCTTCATGACAGGTTCATCACAGAAGGTGACCTTCAGTGGCTCTATCTTGAAAGTAGACTTGCCTACCCAAGCCCTAGAGGAGGGTTCCGGCGCAGTCTTCCTCCAGTTCCATGCCACTGCAGCAAAGCGAGGGTACTCTGGGAAGGTTTTCTCTACCCTAACCTTGCTCTTAAGTCGCCGGACATTGATCGGGCAGTCGCTGCCTGGTGCAAACCAGCCTGTTCTCTCCACGCGATGGTGTCTGATTAACACTCCACCCTTGAAGTCGACCTCCCATGTGTCCTCCAAGGGGCTTGGTTGCACAGCAGGTGCTGCGAGGCAACACGCTGCTGCCTTATCCCTGCTCTTAGACCTACCTCGGCTTTTCGGTCTCCTAGGAGCGGGCGAGGGGGATCTAGGCTTAGGATTAGTGGGATCAGGGGTGGCAGCAGCCGCCTTAGCTTTCGCAGCTGCGGCTGGCTTCTCCTGGTGGAGAAAACGACAGTTCTCGCCCTTGTTGCACTTCCCTTTCTTCCAGAAAGTACAGACACGCTGAATTCTACCTCCGATCTTTGGGGCTTTGTCAGGCTTCTTCGAGTTCGGTGACTGGGACCTAGTCTTGTGTAGGAAACTGCATTTGTCACCACGAGTACAGGTACCTTTCAGGAAGTCATAGCACACTCCCTTCGGGCTGTTTGACCTCTTTGGGGAGCTGGCATTGCTACTTCGCGAGCGGCTCGTGCTCCTAGATGGCGATCTACCTCTCTCACGGCCACCTCGGCTTGAGGGGCGAGACGGGCGCGTCGGGGCAGGAGCCCCAAACTTGTCCCCGTGGGACTTGGCGATCCTGTCTCGGTTTTTCCTGACCCTTTCCCTGGTAAGCAAGTCCCTAATCGACTGCAAAAGGAAGGAGTAGGTGTGAGAAGCAGATCCCTCCTTGGCACGGTCGTAAATCTCTAAGTCATACTTCATACGACTTGACTTCCTAATCTGTCTGAGCAGAATATCTCGTAGTACCATTTCCTCAGGGACATGGCTCATTCCTGCAATGACACTCTCCCAGTTGTGAAGAAAAGATGTGAGGTCATCTCCAACCATGTTAACCTTCAAAAGGTCCTCAACTGAGTAGAGTGAGCCCACTTCTTCGTTGGTTTTGAAGTGTTGTTCGAAGAGGTAAAGAACCTGACGACCCCTCACGGATCTCTTTTGGGCGGCCTCGGTTTCCTTGAAGTTCAGGATGTGTCTACCGAGGTCTCCCTTTGCGACCTTACTGAGTGCAGCGAGCAGCTTCGTGTCGAGAGTCACAAACTTTCCAGGCTCTCTTAGCTTTTCGTGTGATGCGTTCTTGTCGTAGACTTCAAGGATCCACTCGAAGGCATCATCGGGTCTATCGCTGGCCGCACGAATAGCTTCACGGGTCGCAGTCTTCCATGACCTGTACGTTTCGGGATTTGGGAAGTCTGGCAACCTAATGCTCTCGGCTTCCTTCACCTTTGGTTTGTCGTCTTCAGTCCTCTCACCTTTCATGAGGCGAAGGTTTTCGAGGATTGCTGCCTGCGTTGCGAGCAGAGTCTCTGAGGTCAGACCAGTGGCCGGCATCCCGGTAACGGGTGCTGCAGGATTTCCTAGACCCGGAGGGGTCGTCAAGGGTCCTGCAGTAGGTCCTGCAGGCTGAGCTGAGCCAGCCGCATTCGCACTGACCGGTCCACCGATCGTCTGTCCTTCTGAGGGCGCTGCAGCTGCACCAGCTTGGGGCTGTTGTGCAGTTGTGTTACCTGGATTCATCTGGGCCAGGAGTCCTCGCATGCTAGAGCTCAACATGTTTGGCGTTACCACGTTCGGTGCAGAAGGTGCACTAGGAAACACAGGGGCTTGTTGTTGTTGCGATTCTTCTGCGAACCTAAGTGCCCTTTCAGTGGCCAACAGCTTGTCCTCAATTTCGTCTTGCTGTTCTTTCGCAGCATCCAACATCGCATCGAATTCTTCCTTTTCGGTTCTTTGGTAGACCTGGAAGTTTTCTTCGAACTCCGAGAGGAGGAACTGCGATTGTTGCGCAGCAAAACTGTTGAGTTGTTGATGGTATTGCTCTTGCATCCTTTGGGCGAGGAGCGCCTCTGATTGTGAAACGTTTTGCTCAATGCTTGCAAATCGGGCTTGCATTTCGTCAAGCTCTTCGATTAATCCAAGTTCCCTGGTGGCTGACCGTTGTTCGAACCTCGCGAATCGCTCTTCGCACGATGCCATTCGAGTAGCATGTACTCTTTCGGCGAGTTCCTCAAGGTTCGAAACACCTTGTTCATATGCACGGGCCTGTTCTTCCATGGCCAGTGTGTGCCTTCTCTCCGCTTCAATCTCTAAGAAACTTAGCTCCGTCCTAAGACGTGCTCGGTTCTCATCATGAACATGAAACACATTCGTCTGCGAAAAGAAGTTCGCCGCCATGCTGAGGTTCCGACCATCATGCATGGACATGTTAGCGAAGTTCACTGCTTGAGGGTACGACTGTTGATCTAGGTGCGTCTCTGGTGCCCCTGCTCGGCTTCCCGTTGCCGGGAGCAGCAGAGGTAGTCCTGTACGTTCTGTAGCTGCTTCTTCGGCAGGTACAAGTTCAGGTGAAGCATTCTCCAGGTTCGCATCCGCAAGCATTGTAGGCTATACGGCTGATAACCTATAGTTATCAGGGAAACTCCAAGGTGTAATCACAAGCACTGAGTTGAGAATACCGTTAAGCCATGCAGGAGCGTACGCTCTATTTTCTACTGCAGAGGGCTTGCGAGGTAATGCAACGGGACGATATGCACATGATGTTAAAATGCAAGGGTTATCGCAATGCAAAATTACAAGGAGTGCTCGCTCAAAGGACAGGCTGAATCCCGACAACAGAACTTACAACTCTGCAATGTTTCACCAGGCGGTGCATATGTTGGCTAAGCAAATGAACCTGCTAAGAGAGTCTAAACCGTAAACTCTAAACCCTCCAAGAATCCCTCTACAGGATAATTTTTGGGATTTTATGGGACTCTCCCCCAAGAAGGCTATAAAGCTTACCTACTCTACGACTAAGCAACGCTAAGTCCGGGTTCACAGTGACCCGAGAGCTCAGGTTGTTTCTCAGGCATTCGGTCTCATTTTGGGTGGGAGGGCGGGATTTAGCTTCGAGGATTTTGCGTTTTGGGGTTAAGGGGCTGGGGGTCTAGCAAGTCCCGCTGCTTCGTGCCCTAGACGCCCGATGACCTGAACCCGCATGATTGCGCTTTCTCCGTCTCTCAGATTGCTTGGGGTTAAGCGCTCAACCCCAAACCCTAAACCCTAAACTGAATTTTCCAACCCTAAACCCTCAACCCCAAACCCCACAAACCCCCAGAAGCTTGTCTTGTTGAAGCCGTGAAAGCTCCGGGTCCTCGCCATACCCCGACACTTGGGCCGCGCGCATGTTCCTAAGTTTGCGTGTTACGTTTTTGGGGTCCTAAACCCTTAAACCTAAACACTGTGGCTAAGGGTTTAGGGTTTGGCCCTGACCCCCTCTGAAACCCTAAACCCTCAAAACCCTCAAAACCCCTGTGCCCTAGGCCCTCAAAACCCTCTAAACCCTCTGAGACCCCTAAACCCCCTCAGCCCCCAGACCCGAAACCCTAAACCCCAAAACCTAAACCCCAAAACCCTAAAGCCCAAACCCCAAAAGCCTAACCCTAAACCCTAAACCCAAACCCTGAACCCTAAACCCTTAGCCCTAAACCCTAAACCCTAAACCCTGAACCCCGAACCCTAAACCCCGAAACCCTGAGCACCTGCAAGGTTCAGGGTTTTGCTTCGGTGGCCCTGGGCATCGCCCTAACGGTTTAGGGTTTAGGGTTTAGGATTTAGGGTTTAGGGTTTAGGGTTTAGGGTTTAGGGTTTAGGATTTAGGGTTGAGGGTTTAGGGGTTCAGGTTTAAGGGTTCAGGTTTTAGGGTTTAGGGGGTAGGGTTTAGGCTTGCAGGGTTTCGCGGCTTAGGGTTTAGGGGGCTCATTGAAATTATCAAGGGTTCAGGTCCGGGGCAGCTTTGAGGAGTTTCGCGGACAGTTTTGAGGAGCTTCCTTTTGTTTCACATTGAGACAACTTCAAAAGGTACCGAGGCTTGAGGGTTCAGGATTGAGGGTTTGGGGTTTAGGGTTTAGGGTTTAGGGTTTAGGGTTTAGGATTTAGGGTTTAGGGTTTAGGGTCTAGGTTTAGGGTTTAGGGTTTAGGGTTTAGGGTTTAGGGTTTAGGGTTTAGGGTTTAGGGTTTAGGGTTTAGGGTTTAGGGTTTAGGGTTTAGGGTTTAGGGTTTTGGGGTTAGGGGTTAGGGTTTAGGGTTTAGGGTTTAGGGTTTAGGGTTTAGGGTTTAGGGTTTAGGGTTTAGGGTTTAGGGTTTAGGGTTTAGGGTTTAGGGTTTAGGGTTTAGGGTTTAGGGTTTAGGGTTTCGGGCTTAGGAAGAGATAGGATTTCGGTCCCAGAGTCGCAGCATCGGTGGCCACCGCCATCCAGAGAAGTGAGCACAGTATGAGGCGCAGGCGCATGAAATTTCCGGATTTCTTCAGGCGCCAGGGCCTTCTTAGATCCTTGGGCCCAAAGCACGGAAACTACACCTTATAACTCAAGGAGTTTAGGGTTTAGGGTTTTGGGTTCAGGGTTTAGGGTTAACCCAAACCCTATACCCTCTTTTAAAGACAACTGTAAAGACTTAAGAACTCAGGGGGGAAGGTTGATAGGGTCTTGGGGCTTTGGGGCTTTGGCGGCTTACAGGGCCTTGGGGCTTTGGAGGGCTTACAGGGTTTATGGGGCTTTTGACGGTTGAGGCCCCAATCCTGTAAGCCGCAAAGACCTTAGATCCACGTGTAGGATTAGCTTTAGAGTTTGAGGGCTTTGGGCTCCACACGTAAAGTGTGAACCCTTAATACAAATACCTCTCCCCGAAGCTCCCCCCGAGAAAAACTTCGCCTATGCTGATCTGCAGCGTCTGAAGGAGCCACTCCTGGCAGGAGTTTGGACGGGCCCAAGATGCACAACCCGCAAATCCGGGTTTAGGGCTTAGGGTTTAGGGTATGGGGCCTTTAGGATTTAGGTCTCCGACGGGCAAGAAATGTCGAAAGCTCTGTAACCCGAAATCCTAAACCGCCAATAACAGAATGGAGGATTTTGAAACCTTACACCGCCAATAGCCTTTGAAGCTTAGGGTTTAGGGTTGAGGGTTGAGGGTTGAGGGTTGAGGGTTTAGGGATTTGGGTTTAGGATTTAGGGTTTAGGGTTTAGGGTTTAGGGCTTAGGGTTTAGGTGCCGAAGAGAGAACGCAATCTACGCCAGGAATGGTTCGGAAATCGAGTTTGGGACTGTCTTGGGCTGTCCCTCCTCAACTAGCTGCTTCCATGGACACGATCGAAGCCTTCAAGTGTTGCAAGAGGGAGGAACCTTAAACCCTAGCCCTGAGCCCTAAACCCTGACCCCTGGTTCCTAAACCCTGCACAAAATTGCGAGGTACTCCAAGCTGGGACCTGCCATTGGGCCTCATGCTTAGGATTTTTTGAGAGTTTCGGGTTTGGGTTTATAGTTTAGGGCTTAGAGCTTAGGGTTCATGAGCTTACCCTACTGTAGGAAGGAACATACTTACAATGTCCCCACTGCACCCTAAGCCAGAGTTCTTTTCAGATTGTCTTCTCGTTGGAGAACGTAGCCCCTCAAACTGCCCAACCCCCCCCCCCCCCCCCCCCAACACCATTGCTAATCCACCAAACCTCTCCAGAACCCACAGCCCTGTCTCAAGCGACTCATGGATATCTGTGCAGCAATCCAGAACACGCTAGGGTTGAGGTTTTAGGTGCATCGGATGATCCTGAATTACAACTCACCTACCGTTTCGGCACAGGGAGGTTCAGGGTTCTAGTTTAAGTCCTTAAGTTTTAGGGCTCCAGAAAAGCACTACCCAGAATCATAGACGGGGTCTTTATGGTCTTGGAGGCGTGGAGCTGTCTCAACATCCCAACAGCATAAACTGTGGGCATATCTTCGTCGATGGCGTTTCGAGCCCCGGCCAAGCAATTTTGGAGCGCTTGGGGAAGCCGTTGGGACTGGGCTTCAACAGCCACTCTATGGCCTCTATCTGCCCGAGGAGCTTGATCATGGCATGGTACTTAGCTGTTCAGCACGACATGTCCCTGCACAGTGATGACCGCGTCGTCCTCAGCCTGGCTCCACGTGTTGAGCTTGGTATTGCTGAGGAAGTTCATGCCCTGGGACGTGTCTGACCAAGGGGTCAGAATTGTGTTGCTGATCTCGTCTGACGACGGTGAGGGCACGGAAGTTGAGCAATGCCGTTCGTCCGCATTTGTTGGCAACAGGCGATGGTGACAGTCAGGATCAAAGCCTAAAGCCTAAAGGCCTGAAGCCCAGAACCCTAAAGCTCTAAACCCTGGATCCTTGAACCCTACAGCCCTAAACTCTATACCCTTAAGCTCGACTAAACCCTAACCCTCACTGAACCCCCTGAACCCTACACCCTAAACCCCCTAAACCCTAAACCCAATTCCCTTAAACCGCAAACCCAATCCCCCCAAACCCTGGACCCAATTCCCCCGTACGCCTTAGACCCTATCCTTTGGGATGTTCCCCTTTCCTAACAGTCCTTCATAGGCATTGTTATAGGGGGTACTGTCAGCCCTATTAAGGACTCTTGGTATGTGGGGGCAGCATCCCGGCCTGAACCCCCCAAAACCCCCCGAAAAACCCTACACCCCTAAACAGTAATCCTAAACCCTACACCCCAAACCCTAAACCATAAACCCTACACACTCCCTACACCCTGAACCCTATCCCCCCTTAAGCTCACCAGCCAGAAAAAAAGGGGGACCTCGGAGGCGCGCAGGTTCAGCTCGAACTGGATGTACTTCTTCCCAGCTGGGCGGATCGAAGGGTGACTGTTTAGCGTTGTAGGGTGTGCGGGGTTTTGGGGGGGTTTTGGGGTTTTGGGGGGGTTTGGGGCTTGATCCCTAAACCCTAGACCCTAAACCCGACACCCTAAACCCTAAACCCTCAACCCGAAACCAGGTTGGGGAGCTTCTCATACTTAGGGGAAGGGCAGGATGCCTGCTGCAGGCTCAAGGCTTCGGGGATGGTCTTGAAGTCCTGAGGTTTAAGGCTGAGGGCGTTTGGAGTCACAGGGTTTAGGGTTTCGGGTTTAGGGTTTGGGCTTAGGGGCTTGGGGCTTGGGGCTTGGGGCTTAGGGCTTAGGGCTTAGGGCTTAGGGCTTAGGGCTTAGGGCTTAGGGCTTAGGGCTTAGGGCTTAGGGCTTAGGGCTTTGGGCTTTGGGCTTAGGGCAGGGCTTAGGGCTTAGGGCTTTAGGGGGCTTAGGGCTTAGGGGGGGCTTAGGGGGCTTAGGGCTTAGGCTTTAGGGCTTTAGGGCTTAGGCTTAGGGCTTAGGGCTTAGGGCTTAGGGCTTAGGGCTTAGGGCTTAGGGCTTAGGCTTAGGCTTAGGGCTTAGGGGGCTTAGGGCTTAGGGCTTAGGGCTTTAGGGGCTTAGGGCTTAGGGGGGCTTAGGGGCTCAGGGCCTCAGGGGGCTCAGGGGCTTAGGCTTAGGCTTAGGGGGCTTAGGGCTTAGGGCTTAGGGCTTAGGGCTTAGGGCTTAGGGCTTAGGCTTAGGGCTTAGGGCTTAGGGCTTAGGGCTTTTAGGGCTTAGGCTTAGGGCTTAGGGGGCTTAGGGCTTAGGGCTTAGGGCTTAGGGCTTAGGGCTTGGGATGCTCCCCTTTAGACGAACAGTCCTCCATAGGGATTATACTAGGGGGCACGAGACTCCCTAGCAAGGACTGTTAGTATAAGGGGAACATCCCAACTTAGGGCGTTTGGAGTCAGAGGGTTTAGGGTTTAGGGTTTTGGGTTTTGGCTGTATAGGGTTTGGGGTTTGGGGCCTAGGGTCTTAGGCGAACCCCAACGCCCAAACCCCACAGTAAGCCCAGAACCCCCAAAACCCAAAAACCCAACCGCTAAACCTCCCCAAAGCACTTTGCCCCCCCACTTGACCTGGTTACACCCCAAGCCTTATAACCCTAAACCCTCAACCCTATAACCCTGAAAAGACCCTAAGCCTAAAACCCCGAAACCCTTTTTTTATATAAAATAAATAACCCTCAACCCCAAATCCCTAAACCCCAAACCCTATAAGCCTATAACCCTAAAAGACCTTCGCCAGTTAGACCAAACCCCTAAACCCTAAATAACCTTAAACCCTATCTGTATATGCCAGCTCACTACCAGTGCTATTCCTCCTTTTTCACCTACTTCAAGCCCCGTCAAAGTCCGGAACCTACGCAGCAAGGCACCATACCAGCACCGGATCCTTGAACATCCCAAATTACAACCTCACATGCGCGCCGCGTGAAGTTGAGCCAAGACCCGAAACTGCTTGAAGCTCACAAAGCCAGATCGCCTGCTATTACCAGAATCAGCTCGCCCAGGTGAAAGGCAGCTTTGCTGCAAGAACAGCCACCACTACGGTGAACCTAGAACTTACACCGCCGCTACGGCGAGCCTGCGCCGGCACTGCAGCCAACGTGCACCGCCCCTACGGCGAACCCAACTGCGCCGCGTCGGACTTTGCAAACTTCACGCGGGCCCACGCCCTGGACTCGTAGAAGCGGAGGATCGTACTTCGCGATTGTCCGTCGGTCTGGGCCACTGCCAATGATTGCCCACGGAAACATCTGATCTGTCACTTTCGTCAGCAAGCATTGTAGACCAGCACGGTCACACCCTTCTTCGAGCTACCCTACTACCCCAAGCCTTAAAGCCTACATAACCCTAAATAACCCTAAAACCCTAACCCTAAACCCTAAACCCGAAATAACCCCACAACCCGAAACCTTAAACCCTAAATAACCCTAAATAACCCTAAAACCCGAAACCTGAAATCCTAAATAACCCCAACACAACCTTGCCCCCCCCCCCCCCCTCCCTGGGCGCCCAGGCTCGCCACTTTGCCCTTGGGCTGCGAGAGCTCGGCGGGGATCGGGGTGTAGCCCTCGCAAGATGGGTGGAGGTTTAGGGTTTCGGGTTTAGGGTTTAGGGTTGAAGGTTTAGGGGGGTTTCGGGTTTAGGGTCTAAGGTTTAGGGTGTTAGAGGCTTCAAAGGGGTTTTAGGGTGTGTTGGGTATGTAGGGTGCTAGGGTTTAAGGGTGTTAGGGTGTTAGGGTGTTGGGGTGTTAGGGTTAGGGCTTAGGGTTTAGCCTTGGTTTGGGGTGTTAGGGTTTAGGGTGTCAGGGCTTAGGGTGCTAGGGCTTTGGGTGTTAGGGTGTTGGGGTTAAGTGCTTAGCTTGCAAAATAGGTTGGGGGCTTCAAAGGGGTTTAGGGCATCTGGGTGTCAGGGTTTAGGGCGTTAGGGTTTGGGGTGTTAGGGTTTAGGGTGATAGGGTTTAGGGTCTAGGGTTTAGGGTTTGGGGTTTAGGGTTTAGGGTTTAGGGATTCTTGTTGGGGTGGGTTTAGGATCTCAGGGTCCAGAGTCCAGGGTCTTTAGGATTGGGCTTGGATCTTTGGGGCTCTCTGGGGTTCAAGGGTTTAGGGTAGGGGGTTCAGGGTTTAGGGTTTAGGGCTTAGAGTTCAGGGTAGGGGGTTCAGGGTTTAGGGTTCAGGGTTCAGGGTGCAGGGTGTAGGGTTTAGGGTTTAGGGTTTCGGGTTTCGGGTTTAGGGTTTAGGGTTTAGGGTTTAGGGTTTAGGGTTTAGGGTTTAGGGTTTAGGGTTTAGGGGGTAAGGTTTAGGGTTTAGGGTTTAGGGTTTAGGGTTTAGGGTTTAGGGTTTAGGGTTTAGGGTTTAGGGTTTAGGGTTTAGGGTTTAGGGTTTAGGGTTCAGGGTTTAGGGTTCAGCATCTCAAGTCCGAGCATTCACTAGTCAAGCAGCTTGTCAAGCGTTGGAAAAAAAACCACCCACCCAAGAAACCCATAACATTGAGAAAATACAAAGCTCACTCAATACATTCCCAGTAATTAGTTTTTAACGGACCCAAAACCCGAAATCTAATCTAACGCCCACAATAGGCCCTTTATGCTCTTAGGGCCCAACCCTACAGTTTAGAAGCCCCTGTCGGTGAAGGCCCGGTTCCCAGAACCGTCGATTTCAGCCGCGCCGATCTGGGGATGGGGTGGGGCGGGGGTTGGGGGGTGGGGGGGGGTGTGGGGGGGGGGTGGGGTGGGGGGGGGGTGGGGGGTGGGGGGGGGTGTGGGGTGGGGGGGGGGGGGGGGGGGGGGGGGGGGGGGGGGGGGGGGGGGGGGGGGGGTGGGGGGTAGTGGGCAACGGTGATTTGGGGCATCTCAAAAGTCGGCAACGGTGATTTGGGGCATCTCAAAAGTCGGCAACGGTGATTTGGGGCATCTCAAAAGTCGGTAACGGTGATTTTGGGCCATCTCAAAAGTCGGCAACGGTGATTTGGGCCATCTCAAAAGTCGGCAACGGTGATTTGGGGCATCTCAAAAGTCGGCAACGGTGATTTGGGGCATCTCAAAAGTCGGCAACGGTGATTTGGGGCATATTAGGGTCTAAATACATTATGATAGAGAGGTTTAGGGTTTAGGGTTTAGGGTTTAGGGTTTAGGGTTTAGGGTTTAGGGTTTAGGGTTTAGGGTTTAGGGTTTAGGGTTTAGGGTTTAGGGTTTAGGGTTTAGGGTTTCGGGTTTCGGGTTTAGGGTTTAGGGTTTAGGGCTTTGGGCTTGGGGCTTGGGGCTTAGGGCTTAGGGTTTAGGGTTTAGGGTTTAGGCTTTAACATAAGCAGCACCACTAAGGCCTCCCACAAGGCCCCTTCAGCCCACCTTGAGCCTGACACCCTGTAAAACCCTAAAACCCAAACCCTAAAACCCTAAAATTAACCCTAAAACCCTGACACCCTAAACCCTAAAAGCCCTGAAGCGTAAAATCCGAAAACCCCAATTATAATAATTAGAACCCTAAAACCTTAACCCCTAAAGAGCCCCTCAAACGCCCCAGCCCTAGACTCCTAAACCCTAAAAAACCCTACAACCCTAAAATCCTAGAACCCTCAAACCCTAAATGCCCTTAACGCTCCCCAACAAAACTACAACCCTAAACCCCTAAACCCTGAAACCCTCAAACCCTAAAAGCCCCAAAAGCCCGCAAAAGCCCTCGAAAGCCCTCAAAAGCCTGCAAAAGACCTCAAAATCCCTCAAAAGCCCTAAAACCCTAAAACCCTAAAGCCCTAAAACCCTAAAACCCTAAAACCCTAAAACCCTAAAACCCTAAACCCTAAAACCCTAACACCCTAAAACCCTAAAACCCTAAAACCCTAAAACCCTAAAACCCTAAAACCCTAAAACCCTAAAACCCTAAAACCCTAAAACCCTAAAACCCTAAAACCTTAAAACCCTAAACCTTAATCGTTGAAACCCTAAAGCCCTCCAAAAGCCCCAAAGCCCTCACAAAAGCCCCCCCTTATTGAAGTTTGCACACGCGTGCGGCACCTCGGGAAGCGCCTCCTCGGGGGCCGTGTTGATGGTGAGGAGGCCGGTGTGGTACCTGTTTGTGGGAGGTGGAGGGGGGTGGGACTCTTTTGAGTCTAGAATGTCTATTTGCTTCTTTTATTTTTTTTTCTTTTTTTTTTGGGGGGGGGGGGGGGGGGGAATTCTTCAGAGTTTAGGATTTGGGGTTTAGGATTTGGGGAGGAAACCCATCTCCACACCCTCTTCATACGCAGCTTGTATCTTGACCCTGCCCACACTGCGGAGCAATTTTGCCTCCACGCGAATGCAAAGCATTGCAAAGCGCTTGAAGCAACGAGCTCCTTGTCAGCTGCGGTGCACTGGCACTGACTGCAAGAGTCGTTGGCACGACTGCGAGATATTAGCAACTCGGATGGCCCTTAAAACCCTGTGAAAGTCTTGCTAAACCTTGTCCTCGTAAACCCAAAAACGGAAAATAGAAACGTCCTAAGGGCCTCGGCAAGGTAAGCTGCGCATAAGACAAGTAAGAACCTTGAACCCTGTCGCAAAGCATGTGCTGCAGCCCAGCAGCTCACACACCTTATATCTAGACGGCTAGCGCAGGCACCAAGTGGAAGCAGACTCTGCAGCCGTGCACGAAGCACCTTCAGCTCAAACTACTTGCTGCTGGAACAAGTGAAACAAGGTTTGACATGCGCGCATGGTCGCCTGACTGTTGAAACTTCGGCACAACTACCTTTGCCCAATGTGGTACAGCAAAGCCTTCACACACCCCTAACTATGCATGCACAAGTTTCCAGCAGGTTCGGCAGCTCGAGAACGTGTGAGCGTGGCGGGACATATGGAACATGGGTGCGAGGGCACTGACTGCAGTGAGGGCATTAGTCTTGCTGCAGCCGTGCACCAAGCACACCTGGTCAAATGCTTAAAGTAATGTGAATGTTTTCGGAGACGGAGGCACTCCAAAAGACCTCCAGGCACAAAACTTTTCAATTGCACGGGCACTGACTGCAAGTTTTCATGCAGCCGTGCACTACGCGCATCTACAAGGACCACGTGCAAGGATGAACTGATGCCAGCAGGTGAGAAACCACAACAACTGTAGGGAATCAAGTGAATTGAACTTCACAGTGCCTCTCAAAACCGAAAGCTGAATCAGAGCTAACCCCTAAGCCCTAAAACCCCAAACCCTGCACAAAGCGCAAGCAGCTCCAACACAAATTGTTAAATGCGACACACGGGCGCAGCATCCTCATGAGCAGTTCTCTACCTTCTCACCCTCTTACAATGTTAGGATCGAGGGCCCTCATTTTAGGATTCAGGGCCCTCATGCTCTCCAGATTAAACAGGGAACTTAGAAAGGGTGTCTAAGGCTTAGGGCTACAGAGGACTGCCCAGAGAAGGGCCAGAAGCCGTCAGGCACTGGCTGCAAGATGTCTGCTGCAGCCGTGCACTGGACGACGCTCCCGACGAATGGAACACAGAGCTTCGGCATTCTAAATCCTTCCTAAGCCCAGACAGCCATAGACACCCTTAATTAACGAATAGAGTTTCAGTCATGAGAGTAATGACAAGGATAAGGAGCTCGATGTAGTTTAACCTACATTCCACCGTTAGTGCATTGGGCTCTCTGGGAGTGTTCAACCATGTTCAATCGCTGAAGTCACTGGCAGTGTCAGGGATTCTTCCAGAGATCTCTTCAAGATTCAAGTGAGGGAGGGAATTTCCTTCTCCATCCGCCTCCATGGGACATGTCGGTGCAGACGCCGGGTGGCCCTCTGTGGCCTGAGGCTTACTCGGCTTCGCTCTTTCACACATGCCCCCTCGGCGGCTCTCCTGTCGGCAGTGGCCCTTGCTGAGGATGCTCAGGGGCCAGGAGAAGACTGCAACGGGCAGGTCGGGCTCGAAGACCAGCCTGAGCACCTCCTGGCGCTTCGGCAGCTTGCACGCGCCCACGTGCGTGAGCACGGCAGCTTCCCCGGAGTCGAGCATCACCACGTCGCCTTCCTTGAGGCTTCCGGCGGGCACATACGTGCTGGTGCCTTGGTTGGAACCCGGCACAAGGATGAGATGGTCTTTGGTCACGCGCAAGTGGGCGGGCCCGGCGTGCAGATCCACCAGATTCCCGCCGGCTTGCTTCACTGTTCGCTGGACCACCTTAAGAACTGTCTCTCCATCCCAGGCCACAACTTGTGAGCCCTCCACCAAGCTCCGTCCCTCCACGAAGGAATCACTGCGCATCCTGAAGAGAGCATCGGGCATGAAGCAGCAAGGATCCGGTGCCCGGACTGAAAAGTAAGACTTCAGGCTCAAGCTGGAGGTGGATGAGGAGAGGGAGCCTTCTGCAGCCTCGTCATAAACCATTTGGAACCCCAACGCGCGCGCAAGTGCGGAGGCACTCTCGCTGGAAGTCTGGCTCAAAGTCTCGCTGGAAGTGCGGCTCGACACATCTCCAGGAGTCTCACCACAAGCAGTCGCACGCGGACCACGAAGCGTCTTCTCGACAATCTTCCTCAGCCATCTTATCTGGTCGTCTGAACCAGATAGCTGAGCACTCACAGTTTTGCAGCGTTCTTGGCAAACCATCATCTCAGCCCTCTGCTCCTCGCACTCAGTGCAGGCTTGCACCTGGTTCTGTTGGGCCTGCTCCGGGCGCAACTCTGTTTCTTGCGCAGGTGTCGGGATCCTGTCTGCACCTTCATGATCGCGCCTTGCAGCTCCCACCTCCCACTGCGATGCTGCAAGTTCCTCTTCAAGCTCCCTCAGCCTCTGCGAAGTGTTGGCACGGGTTTGCGCTGCCTCTTCCACCTGTTGCCGCAAAGTCCTGTCTGCACCTTCACGATCGCGCCTTTCAGCTTCCACCTCCCGCTGCAATGCTGCAAGTTCCTCTTCAAGCTCCCTCAGCCTCTGCGAAGTGTTGGCACGGGTTTGCGCTGCCTCTTCCACCTGTTGCCGCAAAGTCCTGTCTGCACCTTCACGATCGCGCCTTTCAGCTTCCACCTCCCGCTGCGATGCTGCAAGTTCCTCTTCAAGCTCCCTCAGCCTCTGCGAAATGTTGGCACGGGTTTGCGCTGCCTCTTCCACCTGTTGCCACAAAGTCCTGTCTGCACCTGCACGATCGCGCCTTGCAGCTTCCACCTCCCGCTGCGATGCTGCAAGTTCCTCTTCAAGCTCCCTCAGCCTCTGCGAAGTGTTGGCACGTGTTCGCGCTGCCTCTTCCACCTGTTGCTGCAAGGCCACGGCTTGCTGCTCCAGCTCCTGCACTCTTTGGAAACTCCCTTCGCATCTGGGAGGTCTGCCCATCTGGTCATGGAGCACCTGCTCGAAGCGGCCCAAAGCCAACTGTCTCTCCCTTGCCGCCTTGTCGCGGCCAGGGTCAGAAGATGCCAGGCAGACGTAGGTGTAATGAACTGATCTCAAGTTCTGAAACTCTTCATCCAACTTGCAGTCATTGCGGACCCTTTTAAGCCAATCAGCGAATTCAGCGGTGGTCGCTATGATTGCTGTAATTATCACGAAGCTGAGCACGCAGAGGTAAGGCGCCATGGCAGCACAAAGCAGGCTCTCCATGTTGAATCTGCTGCTTCCTTCAGGGAAGCACGCGTTTGAGCCTGCTGCTTCAATCCCACCGCCCACGGTCAGCAGACCTACACTCAGATCCAGGCACCCTAAACAGGGATGATGAAGGGCTCCCTTTCTAGTGGCACAAAATTGCCTACTGAGAGATCCACAAAACAAGGAAAACACAAGACGTTTTCCTATGCGCATCATGCCATGCGTTCGTCAGAACTCTCAAATGACAGTTTCCAAAGTTGGGGTGCCAATTTCGTGGGCTTGCGCGAAGAGGGTTCGTCTGAGATTCAGGGCGCCCTTTCTTGCAATTTCCCACCTATACAGCCCCACAAGCTGATGCTGCTAGAAGTCCAGGTTCTCCCATCACACTCCCTGTCTTCTCCCTTACGTATTCCTGCGTAGAATGCAAAGCCCGGGATATCAAACGTATTTTCTTCAGGCTTTTGGGGCGGGGGCGGACTCCTCCTGGAAACCTCGACCCTGAAATCCCGGAACCGCTAAGGTTAGAGGCCCTAAGCCCTAAAGCCTTATACCCTCAGCGTGCCTCTGCTTGCCAGCTTTTTCGCGGGTGGGGAAGGCGATGATCCAATAGCGCGGCCACACCGACAGGTGACCTTGGGGCCCTACCTTGGATCCTTTGAGGTTGCACCTAGACCCCTTAGGACCCCTTATATAAGGTAGTGGTATAAAGGCATTAAGGAAACCCTTCAGGGGTAAAACTTTCGGCACCCTGAAAACCTTAAGCTGTGACTTTTGCAAGCCTTCACCAGTGTTGCAGCATTATGTGTTTTTAGGCTTTCGGGTTTTAGGGTTTTGGGCGTTTAGGGTTGTGCGTGTTCAGCATTTTGTGGTTCAAGGCTTCGGGTTGAGGAGTTGATTGCATGTGGGAATGCTGGGATGTTTCAGGCGTTTGGGGGCTTAAGGCTTTGGAGCTAGGGTTCCAAAGGCCACGGTTTCTGAGGCACAGGGTCACTGGGCCGTGGGTGCCAAAAACACCACTGATCTGAATGCCCTTGAGGCTCGCAATGAGCGCCAAAACCCTCATCCACAAACCACTCAAGCCCGAAACACCGCACAACCCTAAGCCCCCGAAAAACCGTAAACCTTAAACCCCCTAAACGCGACACCACTAAACCCAAATCCAAACCCTAAACCCCCTAAAACCGTAAGTGGCGTTTAGTTACAACGCGAAGCCCTAACCTCCCCCACAAACAAATCTTAGGGTAGTTACATGGCCCCTTCATGTAATTGGGGACCCCTTTGATACCCCGCATGTACCCTATACAACCCAAGGGCCCATACTTCAGAACCCTTTAAAGAAGGTAAGGGAGAATGTCAGGGGACCATGCAAGTACCCTACACCCTAAACCCTAAACCCGAAACCCTAAACCCTAAACCCCATGGCCCTAAACCCCATAACCCTAAACCCTAAACCCTACAAACCCTAAACCCTAAACCGCATTACCCTAAACCCTAAACCCTGTAAGCCCTAAGCCCCGAGAGGCCCCTGCCTTGACTGTTCTGCCGCACCTCGAAGTGCACGAAGCCATCGGACTGCGGGTTTTGTTTGGGGAGGCTCAGGGGTTTAGGGTTCTTTGGGGGGGCTCAGGGGTTGCTTTTGGGGGGGGTTTGGAGGGTTTTGGGCTTTTGGGGGGCCTAGGGCTAAGGGGGGTTTAGGTTTTTGGGTTTTTGGGGTTTTGGGTTTCGGGTTTTGGGGCTTTGGGGTTCAGGAATTTGGGGGCTTTTGGGGGTTTTGGGCTTCGGGCCCTCCCGCATGTGTTGCTACATGGATTCCAAGACTGGCCGCAAAATTGAGGGCGCTGACCACTCATGTGCACATCATGTCCGCCTAAATTCTATAAGCCCTCAACTACCCGACACCCCAACACCCTGAAACCCGCACCCCAGACCCTCGACCCGGGGGACCAGAGAGGTTTCAGGGCAACTACATGGTCCCTTTACATGGGGAACCCGTATATACCCCTTGGAGCCCCTTTAGAAGCTCAGGGACCATCTTCAGGGACCATGTAACTTCTCTTAGACAGCACAGATTCCGAACCCTAAGCCCCCCCCTGCACTCGACCCCGGATAGCGAAGCCCTTCTTAGGGCTTCAGGGGTTGGGGGTTAAGGGCCTTAGTGGTTTAGTGGTTTAGGGGTTAGGGGTTTAGGGGCTCGGGGTTTAGGCCCCTAAAGCCTAAACCCGACACCCTAAACCCTTGAGGGGCTGGAAAGGGCACCTTGGCGATGAAGGGCACATCCTCGCTGATGAGGTTTGCCTTGAGCTGAGCGGCGTTGATGCGAACACACAAAAGCCCCCAGATCCCTAAAACCCCCCGAAAAGGGGAAGAAGCAACGCTGCTCTTGAAAAAAGAGGGTTTAGGGTTTAGGATTAAGGGTTTGGGGTTTAGGGTTTAGGGTTTAGGGTTTAGGTTTAGGGTTTAGGGTTTAGGGTTTAGGGTTTAGGGTTTAGGGTTTAGGGTCCGCCGACCCTGGCGGCGTGTTGGATGGGAAAAGGAGGTGAAACCTCCCTCTTTCCCTCCTTACCCCCCCAAAACGCGGGGGGGGGCGGGAGGGGGGGGGGGGGGGGGGTGTGGGGGGGGTCGGTGCACAATTTTTTCGTGGAGGACCGCGCCACCCGCACAGCGTAAACAGGGGGTTCAGCACGGGGGGGTAGGGGCGCCCTCAGCAAAATCAGCGTTTCCCGCCTCCACCCCCCCCCCCCCCCCCCCCCCCCCCCCCCCCCCCCCCCCCCCCCCCCCCCCCCCCCCCCCCCCCCCCCCCCCCCCCCCCCACCCCCCCCCCCACCCCCCCCCCCCCCCCCCCCCCCCCCCCCCCCCCCCCCCCCCCCCCCCCCCCCCCCCCCCCCCCCCCCCCCCCAACCCCACCCCCCCCCCCCCCCCCCCCCCCCCCCCCCCCCCCCCCCCCCCCCCCCCCCCCCCCCCCCCCCCCCCCACCCACCTGTCTTTTTGGCTTGAGCTTGTCCTGGTGCTACCCCTACCCCCCCCCAAACGATTCACAGAACTCTGCCGGGGATGATCTTCCATGCGAGCGGGTCTCAACTATGCTCCAGCGGGGTCGGCGGCTTGAGCCGGAGGCTCTTAAATTTAGGGTTTAGGAGAAGGTTGCTTCTTGCGGTTCTTGTTCTTAGCTGGAACCTGCCCCATATTCAGGCGAAGGCCCCAACACCTACACCCGACAGGAAGCCCTCCCAAACTTGCGGCTTACAATTCACCCAAACTTTTATCATGCGTCCGGGGTTTAGGGTGTAGGGTTTTGGGGTTTATGGTTCAGTGTTTAGGGTCCCGAGGGGTTTTAAGTTCCGGGCTCAGGACTAGTGCTCAGGAACGCGAATGGCCCTTGACATAGACGCGATAACATATCCGAAAGACCATTCCCCCTAAGGATCCATGTACGTAAGTCGGGTAGACCCGGGCCCTGAAGTACCTCCTGAGTGTAGTCTAGGGTTGTAGGGTTTAGGTTGCTAGGGTTTAGGGCTTACTTGGAGGTTCATGGTACGAATTAACCAATTCTCACTGCACTTATCACCCACTTATGAGCCCCTTGAGTGCCCTCAAAAGGTTAAAAGTACAGTAATAAGTACAGTTGTCATTGGTGAATAAGTACCATGAACCTCCAAGTAGCGTTGAGGGTGTTCGGGTTGTTTAAGGGTCTAGGATAGCATGGTCTCTGAATCTCCTCGAAGGATCGGGCTCAGGGGTTCATGGCACTGCCGCAGGGAGCATCGGGAGGATCTAGCAAGAGAAAGCACGCCGCACACCAAACCCCTCCAAAACTCCCTAAACTCCCTATCTTCCCCAAACTCCCTAAACTCAACAAACTCCCTAAACACCCGAGTTTCCCTAGCACGACTCACCCTAAACCCTCAACTCCCCAAAACCCTCAACTGTAATCCATAGACTCCCCAAACCCGCGAAACTCCCCACACCTGAAATCCTAAACTCCCCAAACTCTCAACGGACCAAACCCTAAGCCCTAAACCCCTAGCCCCTAACCCTAAACCCTAAACCCTAAACCCCAAACACTAAACCCTAAACCCTAAACACCCCAAAAAACAACCTCCATGGCCAAGCCACCCAGTAGTCCACCAAGGATGCTGGGAGGGCAAGCGGCCTCGGGAGCGGGCTCGGGTGCCCGGATTGTGTCGGGGACTTCTGGGGTTAGGGCTTCGATTTACGGTCCAGGGTTTAGAGGTTAGGGTTCAAGATTTCGTGGCTTTGTGGCATGTTTCGGGAGGCCGAGAATGGGTTAGGCTAAGCCCGAAGCCGAAGCCCGAATCCCCAAGCCCTGGCCGGATTTGGAAATTTGTATACATGTTGAGGTTTGCGGGGAAAGGCCGTATGGTAGGTTCCTACACTAGGGTCCCTTGTTTGAGGAAGTGAGGGCCCTTATATCTTGTTCGGGCACCCAAAAGCTAGAACTTAGAGAACCGGCCATATGGTGGCCAGCTTTTTGGAGAGAGGCGTCGCACGGCTGTGAACAAGCGCACGTGATCAGATGCGACTGCAGCTGCTCCTGCAGTGGCGCAAAGACTCCTGCCCCAAGACCGTTCCTGCAAGTGCTGCAGTACTTGCGACGGAACCTGTACATCTTGCCGCCGATAAACGCGCTGGGCATCCACGAGGGAAACCTTAAACCCTAAACCCTTAACCCTAAAGCTTTAAACCCGGAACCCTAAACCCTCAACCCTAAACCCTACTCCTCCTCAGCTCTCTCTTGCGCCGCCCCTTCGAGCCCCTCCGATGCGCGGTCGTCCCTCTTTCGCTTCAGCGTCTCAGCTCCCTGGGCTTCTGGGGTCTCTAACAGCTCCACAGTGTGGCCCTCCGGATCCTTGGCTGGGCTTTACGGGTTTTGGATTTAGGTGTTCAGGGGTTTGGGGTTGTAAGGGTTTCGGGTTTAGGGCTTAAGGAAGATAACTCGGACTTGGATTGGCCTACTTGACCCAGATCTTCCAAAGTGGCCTGATGAAGGAATCTGCCTCCTTAACCCATAGTAGATGAACCCGCAGAAAGATTTCAAGTACTCTTCCATATTAATTCTCTTGTGCAAGATCTGTGCAGACAAGGCAAGAAAAAAGTAGCCCTGGGTCCCAAGGTTTTGCGCAAGGCTCCCGGAGGACGGCGCGCAGGCCCCAGGGCGAAGCCGTCGGCTCCTGCAGCACCGCCGCCCCGGCCGCGCGAGCGGCCGCCAGCGCGCCGGCCGCGGAGAGCACGGCGAAGCCGAGGCGCACAGGGGCGCTGGGAGGGAAAGCCGGGGTGGCCCGGTAGAGCTCCTTAGGACGGCCCTTGAAAGTCTCTGAAACAAGATTCTTGAAGATGACCCTCTCAAGACCCCATGTTTAAGGGACCAAATAAAATGTATGCATATATATATATAATATAATAAAATGTAATAAAGTAATAATAAGAAGAAGAATGATCATCATCGTCATCATCGTCATCATCATCATCATCATCATCATCCGCATCATCATCATCATCATCATCATCATCATCATCATCATCATCATCATCAAATAAGAAGAAGAAGATCATTTATTCAAAATATCACAGAAAAGTTATATGAAAAACATCCCAAGAGCCTACCTAGGCTCGAAGCAGGAGTGGGGAGCCTCGCAGGCAAAGTGCACGGGCCCCGTGCCGTGTTTGTGCCTGGCGAACTTCAGGCCCAGGGCCTCCGGGTTTAGGGTTTAGGGTTTAGGGTTTAGGGTTTAGGGTTTAGGGTTCAGGGTTTAGAGTTCAGGGTTTGGGGTTTGGGGCTTGGGGTTTAGGGCCCAAGGCCTCGTAGAAGGCCCGCGCGCGGTCGAGGTCCTCCGTTCTCAGGACCAGGAGGTTCAGCGCCATCTTCAACGACACTCAACGGGCCACCCTTCTACCCGCGGCTGTTCGCGCTAGTCTGCGCCGCCCTTGGGCCAGCGATTCTCGGTGGTTAAGAATCTAGACTCCAGTAACCCTAAACCTAAACCCTAAACCCTAAACCCTAAACCCAACACCCTAAACCCTAAACCCCAAACCCTAAACTTTAAACCCTACCCTAAACCCTAAACCCACACTACAGAACCCTTCGGCACACAGGGTGCCAGCGGTTAGGCTTCGACTTGACTCTGGGGCTGCAACCCGTCCTCGTCGTCATCGATCTCAGGGCAGGTTTAGGGTTTAGGGTTTCGGGTTTAGGGTTTAGGGTTTAGGGTTTAGGGTTTAGGGTTTAGGGTTTAGGGTTTAGGGTTTAGGGTTTAGGGTTTAGGGTTTAGGGTTTAGGGTTTAGGGTCCGCCGACCTTGGCGGCGTGTTGGATGGGTTTGAGGAGGTGAAAACCTCCCTACCCCCCAGGGGGGGGGGGTAGGAGGACCGCGCCACCCGGCGTAAGAGGGGCGCCCCAACGCAGGGCGCCCTCAGCAAAATCAGCGTTTTCGCCCCCCCACCCCACCCCCCCCACCCCCCCCCCACCCCCCCCCCACACCCCCCCCCCCCCCCCCCCCTCCCCCGCCCCCCCCACCCCCCCCCCCCCTCCCCGCCCCACCCCTGTCTTTTTGGCTTGAGCTTGTCCTGGTGCGCCAAACGTTTCACAGAACTCTGCCGAGCAGGCTCGAACCATGCGAGCGGGTTTAGGCCTCTCAACTATGCTCCAGCGGGGTCGGCGGCTTGAGCCGGAGGCTCTTAAATCCGGCCCCCGCGCCGCCCGTGGTCCAGGGCGGAGCCCGCGTCGCACTAAAGCGCTAGCTTTAAGGGGCGAGCGCCCGAGCCGCCGACCCCGCCCAAAATTGCTTCAAATTCGCGCGGGGCCCTTCGCGAGGCCTCCGAAACGGCATCCAAGGGGACGCAACACGCAGTGGTGCGAAAAGCACGAAAACCTCGTAAAAACCATGGGTTTTTACGAAAAACCGAGGCCACAAAACACCCGCAGCACCCCATTAAACCCTCACGGGCGCGCATCATCGACCCTATAGCTTTTCACATGGGGCGCGCGCCAGGCCGAAACCATGTTTTTCAAGGTTTGGGGGGGGTACCGGAAGCCCAAAACCAGGCGAGCATCATGAGCATCAGCAGCCCTGGCCCGCGGACCCAAGGCAAGAAAAAACGCTGAAAAACGCTGAAATCACCGTAAATACCGTGTTTTTATGAGGGTTTCACGCGTGCCTCCGACCCCCACCCTTGTTGCCCTTGACCCGCCCCCAAAGTGCGCATCATCGAAACCCACGTCGGGGGGGGGGTCTGCTGATGCTGCTGATGCGCGGGGTCCGGGCGCATCATCGAGCCATCGTTTCTCATGGGCTTCGTGGGGGGGTCCGGGCCCACGGCCCAGAGACCCAGCTGATGCTCATGATGCTCGGTTTGGGGGGGTGTTCCAACAGCAGAAAACCTCGTAAATACCGAGTGTTTTGTGGGTCCACGTACAAACGCCCCTAAAATCGCTCATTTTACGCGCTCGAACGGCTTCGTGCCTACAAAACACCCGAACAGCAGGACCCCGAATGCCCTTAAGGGCATTCGGGGTCTTGCTTTTGGGGGTTTGGTGGGCACGCAAGCGTTCAAGCACATACAATCGGCATGTTTAAGGGGGCTTTGGATGGCCTGGGGGAGGCCGCTGATGCTCATGATGCTCCCTTTCCTGGGTCCCAAAAGGCTTCCCAAGCCCAAAAACACGTGTTTACAGCGTTTTCTGAAGGTTTTTCGAAGGCAAAACGCATGCATAGAATGCGTTTAAGGCCCCCAAACCAACCCCACTGATGCTCCTGATGCGGGTGCGCGCGCGCGCGCGCGCGCGCGCGCCGGCGCGCCGGGGGGGTGGGGGGGGAGGGAGGGGTGGCGAAGGCAGGAGAAAGAGAGACAGAGAGAAGGAGAGGACAAAGACACGGGAAAGAGAAGACAGTGCCAAGGTTCAAGGTTTCGTGCTTTGGGGGGCGGGGGCCGGCCCGTGCCGCTAGGCCTGAAATTTAGGGTTTAGGGTTTAGGGTTTGGGGCTTAGGGTTTAGGGTTTAGGGCTTAGGGCTTAGGGCTTAGGGTTTAGGGTGCAGGGTTTAGGGTTTAGGGTGTAGGGTTTAGGGTTGCTTGTGGGAGGAGTGGGGAGGGAGAGAGGCGGGCCCTCACAGCGTTTTAAGGGTTTAGGGTTTAGGGTCTGTTTCGGGTTTGGAGTTTAGGGTTTAGGATTTGGGGTTTAGGGTTTAGTTCTCTTAAGCCCTAAACCCTAAACCCTGCACCCAAAGACCCAGGATCAAAGAGTTCCGATTGAAGGACTACCCAAACGTGCGCAGAGAGCCCAAGACCCTTTCATTCAGGACTGCACTTACTAGGATCCCGATAACAATCGTTTCAAGAGTCTTCCTGAATTAAGGGGTTTGTGAGACCTAAACTCTAATCTTCAACCCTAAGTCCGGACTGTTAAACCCCAAACCCTGAACCGAAACCCCTAAACCCTAAACCCCAAGCCCCAAACCCCAAACCCTAAACCCTAAACCCCAAACCCCAAACCCTAAACCCTAAACCCTGAACCCCTAACCCTAACCCCCTAAACCCCTAAACTCCCAACACCCCCGACCCGACCCCACCTCGGCCACCATGTCCGCACTCTGCGCCTCCCAAGGTGGCGAAGCCGGCAACCCCAAGACTAGGGTTTAGGGTTTAGGGTTTAGGGTTTAGGGTTTAGAGTTTAGGTTTTAGGGTTTAGGGTTTAGGGTTTAGGGTTTAGGGTTTAGGGTTTAGGTTTTAGGGTTTAGGGTTTAGGGTTTAGGGTTTAGGGTTTAGGGTTTAGGGTTTAGGGTTTAGGGTTTAGGGTTTAGGGTTTAGGGTTTAGGGTTTAGGGTTTAGGGTTTTGTCGATTTCAACCGTCCCCAATTTTTTTGATAATGAGGGCTCCATATTAAACAATAAAGGAAATTTAAGATTATCCCAAATCGATGCCTAGTATGGGATCCTAAGAACGTCTCAGGGGTTTTCGGGCTTGGGGTTTCGGGTTTAGGTTTTGGGGTTCAGGGCTTAGGGTTAGGGTCTAGGGTTCAGAGTTTAGGGTTTCGGGTTAGGGTATAGGGGTCTGTTTTGAGGGCTTAGGGGGTTTAGGGGTTCAGGTCAAACCCTAGGCGACTAAACCCACAAGGGCTTCGGATTCTGCTTGAGGCTCAGAGGCAGGACCGTCCCCCTCGCCCCCTTTTTCCGCAAGACGCGCGAAGCTCGAATCGATCTGACATCCACAAGCTAGGCTTACAGGGTTTAGGGTTTAGGAGTTTAGGGTTTAGGGTTTCGGGGTTCAGGGGTGTTAAATCAAAGCTCAAACTGCACGCTCAGGCTGCGGGAGCGCACCGACGCGAGCAGCACGCTCTGCACGTCCTCGTGCGAGACCATGCGGGTGAGCAGCGCCTGCTGTGACGCCGACACCTGGTTCAGGGACCCGAAAATATGGGGTTTGTAGGGTTGTTTATGAGTTTTTGTCGGGTTTTTTGGAGTTGTAATGGGTGTTTCTTTATGTGTTTGATGGGGTGGGGTTTGTAGGGTTTGGAGGGTTTGTAGGGCTTGCAGGGCTTCTAGATTTGTAGGGTTTGCAGGGTTTACAGGGTAGAGGGTTTATAGGGTTTACAGGGCTTGTAGGGTTGACAGCGTTTATGAGGTGCATAGGGTTTGTAGGGTTTAAGGTAGCCTGAACCCATAACCTTAATCACGTTTTGCATTCGGGCCCCCTGTTTAGATGCCTTGGCATCAAAGGAGGAGAAAACCCCAAACCCTAACCCTAAACCCTAAACCCTAAACCCTTCACGCTGGAGCCTGGAAGCCTCCCGACTGGAGCCACAACCTGAACCCTAAACAGATGGGATAACAATGCAACAGCTGCCGCCCCCCCCCCCCCCCCCCCGCCGGCCTGAATGATTCGAATCGGGTTTTGTAGTATAAATATGTAAAGGGACCATAGCAGAACACTATGAATAATTAATAATTATTCCCACCCCCTATATTCGTTACCTTCGCCTCTGCAGATCTCCAGCTCTGAACCTTTTCCGCACTTTTAGGGCCTCGTAGCGCGGCACCATGAGGAAGAGGGGTAATCTCATCAGCGCGGCCACCGCGTAGATGAAACCGGTGATGACGAAGGTCTGCCGGTAGTCGTAGGCATCCATGAGGTAGCCTGGGAAGCTCGGCCGGCCGGTCAGTCTGTGGGGTCTAGGGTTTAGGGTTTAGGGTTTGGGGTTTGGGGTTTAGGGTTTAGGGTTTAGGGTTTGGGGTTTGGGGTTTGGGGTTTGGGGTTAGAGTTTAGGGTTTAGGGTTTAGTGTATAGGGTTTAGGGTTTAGGGTTTGGGGTTTAGGGTTTAGGGTTTAGTGTTTAGGGTTTAGGGTTGAGGGTTTGGGGTTCCAAGGTTTCGGGCGCAGGGTCTGGGGCTTGGGAAGCCGCTGATAAACCCGGACCATGCTAGCGCAAGCTTCGAGCACCAAAAAACTCGAACGCCCCCCAACTCGAACACCCGGACTCGAACTCCCTAAACCCTAAACCCTGAACCCTAAACCCTAAACCCTAAACCCTAAACCCTGAACCCTAAACCCCAATCCGCCCCTGCCTCCAAGGACAGCCGATCCCGACCAGGACATGCTGCTGATGCCTTCGCTCTTGTGCTTGTGACTGAGCTTGGAACCCCGCAAACTCAGAAGCGGCCCAACGTCCAGCACAAACGCAGTGCAAACGCTGAAGACAAGGACGTGCACATAACCCTTCAGCCCTCAACCTCGTGAAGCCCTAAACAACCTAAACCCTAAACCCCTGAAGAGGCAGCAGGCTCCCCCGTTCTCCGAACCCCATGCTCCCGACGCGAGGGGTCCGTTCCCGCCCTCCGAACCCCCCAATGCCCAGGCGCGATCCTGACTTCCGAGCCCTAACTGCGAAGGGGCTACTCATCTTTTTAGGCCCCTTTGCGTCTCGATGTTCACTATCTCTTCATCCCTAAACCCGACCTGAACCCGAAAGCCTTCACTCCCTCTAACTCTTCGGCCTATGGTTTAGTCAACTGCGGACGTATCAACCCACAGGGCTTGGGGATTTCAGGAACCCCAGGAGTCATGAGCAATCCTTTGCTGAGGGCCAGGAACCCAAAAAAGACGTTACAACCCAAAATTGTTCTGTCCGGACCAAAAACCCACGCAAAGCCTGACAAAAATGAAGCTGAACAAAAGCCTTCTTAGCCTAAAGCTTAAACCCTAAGCTTCAAACCCGAAACCCTAAGCCCTAAACCCTAAACCCTAAACCCTAAACCCTAAACCCTAAACCCCAAACCTTGAGTCCAGGAGGCTCTCGGCAGCATTCCAGCGACCTCGCTCAGAGGATGGCACGAAGTCCATGAGGATGGACTTGTCGATTGGGTAGATCCTGATTTTCGGGGAGGGAGGGGGGGGGGATGGGTGTGGGGAGTTTCGCGGGTTTCGGGTTTAGGGTTCTGGGTTTATGGTTTAGGGTTTTAGGGGTTGCGGCTTGGGGTTTAGTTTTTAAGGCTTGGGGTTGTAGGTTTTAGGTTTTGGGCTTAAATGGGGTAGGTCCTCGTACAAGAGCTTGGTTCAGGGTTTCAGGGTTTTGGGGTAGACTCTCAGCAGAGCTTCTTCCGGTGTAGAGAAGGCTTTAGGTTAGGGTTCAAGAGTCCCACAAAAGGGGGCTGACGTCTGCACCCGAAACCCACCTACTTCCAAAGCCAAAACCGCCATGAACCAGGCACACCCAAAAAACCATAAGCCCCCAACCCTGTAAGGGTTAAGGTGAGGTATGTAAGAGGTTGTATAGAGCAGCAGGGCGCCGGGGCCCCAGTTTCTTACCGGCTCTTAGTTGGGAATGAGGGAATTAGACACCTTGTATCCCCCTAGTGCATACGGAAAACCCGTCCATTTCTAAGAAAAAATAGCTGCGGGCTCAGGTGCGAGTTCGCGAGAGCGCCTCGTATCACGAACACCACAAGGACTGCAGGAAGCCACCTCAGGTTTGGGAGTTTTGGGGTTTGGGGTTTGGGGTTTAGGGTTTAGGGCTAGGGTTTAGAGTTTAGGGTTTAGGGCTAGGGTTTAGGGTTTAGGGCTAGGATTGAGGGTTTAGGGCTAGGCCGGCTCCCTAAACCCCAAGACCCCAAAACTCAAAGCGCCTAAACAACCCCTACACGCCCACCCAATCCCCCTAAACCACCTAAACCTTTAAACGCCCTAAACCCCCTAAAACCCCTAAACCCCCTAAACCCCTAAAACCCCCTAAACCCCCTAAACCCCCTAAGCCCCCTAAACCCCCTAAACCCCCTAAACCCCCTAAACCCCCTACGTAACCTCCCCCTAAAACCCCCCTAACCCCCCTAAACCCCCTAAACCCCCTAAACCCCCTAAACCCCCTAAACCCCCTAAACACCCTAAACCCCCTAAGCCAACTAAACCTCCAAACCCTAAATCCTGAACCCTAAGCCCCTAAACCCACAACCCTAAACCCTAAACCCTAAAGACCCGCCTCAGGTAGGCCAGCAGAAAGAGGCAGACCACCCCGGCCGAGGAGAAGAGGAGCCCCGCCTCCACGCGGCCCATGTGCTCCGCGGCCTTCTCACCTTTCTTTTGGGGGGGGGGGGGGGTTTAGGGTTTAGGGTTTAGGGTTGAGGGTTTAGGGTTTTAGGGTTTAGGGTTTAGGGTTTAGGGTTTAGGGTTTAGGGTTTAGGTTTTAGGGTTTGGGGTTTGGGGTTTGGGGTTTCAGGGTTTGGGGTTTAGGGTTTTAGGGTTTAGGGTTTTAGGGTTCAGGGGTTTAGGGTTTGGGGCTTTGTGTTGAGGGATTTCAGGGGTTCTAGGTCTTAAGGATTCTTTGGGATTTGAGGGCCCTAGGGGTGAGAGGGATTCGCGAATCAGGGGCTTGAGTGCTGTAGGGTTCTCTTGGGTCGAGGGTTCAGGATCCCTAAACCCTAAAACCTAAACCCTAAACCCTAAACCCTAAACCTAAACCCTAAACCCTAAACCCTAAACCTTCAGAGTTTTCGGGCTTTCTTCCGGCTCTTGTGGAACTGAGGAGTTCGGCATCTGTTTGAGGCTGCAGGCTCGGGCCTGTCGTTTCAGTCCACGCCGAGTCCACACCAAGGGCCCTTGCCACTGCCCTCTAAACCCTAAACCCAAAACCCTAAACCCCAAACCCTAAACCCTATGCCTCTTCTTGCAGACACGCGCCGTTGCAATTGAACCCTAAACCCTAAACCCTGTACCCTAAGCCCCAAACCCTAAACCCTATGCCTTTTCTTGCTGTTGCAAACATGCCGCGCCCCCAAAAGCCCAAGAACTGAGCGAGCCGAGTCACACAGCCAAGTGAAGAAGCCAAAGGAAAGGCCGTAGACGGCGAAGAGCAACTGGATCTGGCCAGGATTCATGCCATAGTCTTCCTGGCAAACCCTAAACCCTAAACCCTAAACCCTAAACCGAGGCTTGCGGGTTTCGGGTTGCGGGTCTAGGGGCATGCTCCGACTGGTCCCTTGGTATGGGCCATTAAAAAGGGTACTCCTTATCTACCCTGTACGAGTCAAGGGCCCATACATCAGAACCCTTTAACGGGGGGATGTAACCACCCTTAGATGCAGCTATCACTCTATAACGCCAAAGCCTTATGCCCTAGTTGAACCTTCATTCTTTCAAACCCGAACGGGACCCTAAGGAACAGCCCTGAAGTCCGAAACTTACCGGCTCTTTGTAGGAAATGGAACAAATATGTACGCTCTGTACTCCCTGAAAGGGGAATCTGGGGGGATAAAGTGCTTAATTCCCTCACTCACCTACCAAGAACCAGTAGGGAAACCCTAAACCCTAAACCCTAAACCCTGGTCCGGGCTCCTTGAAGAAGAGGGGAAAGAACTTCACAGTCATTCCCGCACCAACCTGGTCTCAGGTTTTCGACCCAGGACAAGGGGGAAATAGAAAAATGCATCTCAAGAGCTTCTTTGGGTGTAGAAAGGACCAGGGTTTAGGGTTGAGGGTTCGGGGTTCGGGGTTTGGGGTTTGGGGTTTTGGGATTTTGGGGTTTTGCGGTGTTTTCGTGCTTTAATCACGCTTGAGGATCCTGAACATGGGCCCAGCAGCCGCCGTGATGATGTCCAAGCCGCAAATCAGCCACGGCACCACCCGTGCGTACTTCCTCAGTCTAGGGTGCTACTTGGGGTTTAGGGTTTGGGGTTTGGGGTTTGGGGTTTAGGGTTTAGGGTTTAGGGTTTAGGGTTTAGGGTTTAGGGTTTAGGGTTTAGGGTTTAGGGTTTAGGGTTTAGGGTTTAGGGTTTAGGGTTTAGGGTTTAGGGTTGCTGCACCTTCCGGGGTCTCTTTAGGGCTTTTGGGGCTCCAGGGCATAGCTGGGCGGAACCCCAAAAGCCCCGCAACACCCTGAACCCCAAGCTATCCAACCGCAGTCAGCAAGCTACCAAACCGAGGCCCAAAGAGGTCTACTGTCCAGGGTTTAGGGTTTAGGGTTTAGGGTTTAGGGTTTAGGGCTTAGGGCTTAGGGCTTAGGGCTTAGGGTTTGTGTGGGGGGGGCGCGTGGACCTTTGAAAGCAAAAGCCCTAAACCCCTGAGCCCTTAAAGCCTAAAACGCGCAAACCCCCAACCCTTAAAGTCCAAGTTTCTATCTGCAATCCCCAGAAAAATGAAGCCCCGGAGCTGTTAAGGATCTGAAGCTCTATGGGGCAAAACCATACCACAATGCACCCACATTGTGGCAGCTTAGCTCAACTTCCTTGACCTCAACCCTAAACCCTAAACCCTAAGCCCTGAACCCTAAACCCTAAACCCTAAACCCCCGCAGATTCATGTGAAGTAGGGCTTACATTTCTTGTATCCCCAAAAGGACACCCCATATATACACTCACCAACATTAAAAAGGAACCCTTATATACAGTCACCAAGAACAGTCCCTAAACCCTAAACCCTAAACCCTAAACCCTAAACCCTAAACCCTAAACCCTAAACCCTGCTTCATGTGAGCCACAGGTTGCTGAAGGCCCCGGAAGCCTCGGGCCCCTCCTCCTCGTGCTGGGCGTCCTTTCGAGGAAAGAGTGTTTAGGATTTGGGGTTTGGTGTTGAGGGCTTAGGATTTGGGTCTAGGGTTTAGGGTTTAGGGTTTAGGGTTTAGGGTTTAGGGTTTAGTGTTTAGGGTTTAGGGCTTAGGGCTTAGGGCTTAGGGCTTAGGGTTTAGGGCTGGGCTCTTGAAGTCTGTAGCAAACGCACCCGCGTGGGGTCTACCTAAGGCCGCTCCCAACTGCCCCAGGGGGCCACCAAGCCTTAACCCCTAAACCTAAACCCTAACCCCGGCAAACCCTAAACTTTTCGGGTTTAGGGTTTAGGGTTTCGGGTTTAAGGTTTAGGGTTTCGGGTTTAGGGTTTAGGGTTTAGGGTTTAGGGTTTAGGGTTTAGGGTTCAGGGTTTAGGGTTCAGGCTTTAGGCTTCAGGGCTTAGGAGTTAGGGGTTAGGTGTTAGGGTTGAAAGCCTAAACCCCTAAACCGACAGCCTTCAGGCCGACCAGGAAGAAGTTCGCCGGGATCATGCCGATGAAGCCGATGATGAGGACGAAGTGGAGGACCGAGAGCTTCCACTCGTTGCCAAAGTAGGCCTGGTGCTTCTTGTAGGGGGTGTTTTGGGAGGGGGTGTTTTGGGAGGGGTGGTTTTAGGGGGTGTTTTTTTAGGGATGTATTTCGGGGCATGGGCTTAGGGGTGTTTTAGGGGGGTGTTGTTTTGGTGTGTTTTCGGGGTGTTTTTAGGGGCTGGTTTTAGGGGGTGGCTTTAGCGTGTTTAGGGCTTTTGGGGTCTGGGATGTTTTGGGTTTTGGGTGTTTAGCATGCTGAGGGTTTGGAGTTAACACCCTAAACCCTAAAGCGCCCAGGACTCCCTAAACCCTCAAAGCCCTTAACCCCAAAAACCCTCAAAACCCTGACCTCTAAAACCCTCAACCCTAAACCCTAAACCCTAAACCCTAAACCCTAAACCCCCAAACCCTGAGTCCACATGAGGATGGACTAAACCTTTCAACAGCCCAAGGCGCGAGGAGAAAGAGACTCAGGAAGGGGCCGGCGCCATACCCCAGCTGGTTGACCTGGGTCTGAGAGGGCTTAGGGCTCAGGGCTTAGGGTTTGGGGTTTAGGGTTTAGGGTTTAGGGTTTAGGGTTTAGGGTTTAGGGTTTAGGGTTTAGGGTTTAGGGTTTAGGGTTTAGGGTTTAGGCGGTTTAGGGTTTAGGGCTGGTCTCAGAGGGGTCCCTCAAGTTTTTGGGTTTTAGGTTTAGTGGCCTTAGGGGTCTTAGGGTTTATTCGGGTTTAGGGGTCTTAGGGTCCATGGGTCTAAGGTTTTTAGGGTTTTGGGTTTAGGGGTTTGGCGGTTACGAGTTTAGGGTGCACAATTTGGGGCTCGGAAGGTCCTTCGACCCTGGGTCTTGTGATGTCTCTCACCCTCAACCCTCAACCCTCAACCCTAGACCCCAAACCCTGAACCCTAAACCCTCAACCCTAAAACCTAGACCCCAAACCCTGAACCCTAAACGCAGAACCTAAAAAGCTCCCGGATTTTGGGGCCCCCGTGCGTTCAACTTCCGGGGCTTTCGAAGAGTTTTTTGGCGAAAGCCCCTTTCAGAAACCCTTTTAGGTGGATTCAGGTTCACCGGAAGTTTAGGGTGTTTGGTTAAGGGTTGAGGTTTAGGGTTTAGGGTTTAGGGCTTAGCCTAAAAGGATGCAGAGTTGAGTCTCATGGGGTTGAGGGCTTAGGCTTAGGGCGTTTCACGGCAGGCTATAGAAGCGAACTATCTTGACTCAATCTCTCTCGCTCTCTGGCCCAAAACACTAAACCCTAAACCCTAAACCCCAAACCCAAAACCCTAAACCCAAAACCCTACCGGAGCCCAGGGGCGATGCTAATCCTCGAGAGCCACTTCGCGCGGGAGCCCTGGGGTATGGAGTCCGAGTACAGCGCAAAGCTCGCAGTGTTCTGCAGCGCGGTGTACGTTCCTCGGCAGGGAGGGTTTGAGGGTCAAGGGTTAAGGGTTTAGGGTTGAGGGGTGGAAGGGTTGAGGGGGTTAGTGGATGTAGAGGGCTCTAGAAATTCTAGAATTTGGGTTGGGCTGCGTCAGCTCAAGTTGGTGATGGCCATTTTTTCGGGGAAAGCCAGAAAATTGCGGCGTCCTCCTGCACTGAATGGACTCCAATTGCAGCATTTGCGCCTAGATGTCGAGCAGTCACGCTGATACTGAGAAAACCCCCTAGACCCTAAAACCCTCCTGAACCCTTAGCGCCCCCTAATGTTAACCTAGTATTACTAAAGCCCCTAACATTAAAGTACGCCAGGTGTCCCGGCCGCAATAATAAAGCCCTGGAAATAAAGTACGCCAGTCGGGGCTTGTTTTTTTTGGAGGGGTCCGTTTTCCTTTCTGATCCTCTCTGATTCTCTCTGATCCTCTCTAATTCTCTCTAAGGAAAGGAATCCTTATTCAAAGGGGCCTCACTCTATTTGGGGGGGGTTTGATTGAAGGGGGGGGGAGGGGGGGGGAGGGGGGGGGGGTTTATTATTACTAGGTCAACATTACCCCCCGCTAAACCCTTAAAACCCCTGAGCCCTCATACCACTAAACCCGAAAAACTAAAACATTCAACCCCCTAACCCTAAACCCTAAACCCTTTCAACCCCCTAAACCCTAAACCCTAAACACTAAGCCCTAAACCCTAAACCCTAAACCCTAGGGCGCATCCTAGGCTCCGAAGAGGAACAGGGAGACGTAGATCACGGGGAAGTTGTCGAGGCTGACTCCTGGGGCCCCCGCACTATGGGGGATTTAGGGTTTAGGGTTTAGGGTTTACGGTTTAGGGCTTAGGGCTTAGGGCTTAGGGCTTAGGGCTTAGGGCTTAGGGCTTAGGGCTTAGGGCTTAGGGCTTAGGGCTTAGGGTTCTTTTAGGGTTTAAGGGCTTCAGGGGCAGGAAAGGAAGTTCAGAACACGACGCCTGCTACGGACACGGCCACGGCCAGCACAGAGAGGTAGGCGCACCACTGCAGGATCTTGCTGCGGGACATGGTGTCACTGAGGATACCGGCCGGACCCGCCAGCACCTTGCGCTCAAGCTTGCAGGGTTTAGGGTTTAGGGTTTAGGGTTTAGGGTTTAGGGTTTAGGGTTTAGGGTTTAGGGCTTAGGGTTTGGGGTTTAGGGCCAGACCCCGAAACCCTAAACCCTCAAGCCCCTGTAACTTGAAATTGTTGCGCCCAAATCCTCGAAACTCCTGGAAGCTCCCCAAAACTTTCCCGGGACCTGAACCCTGAATGATTTGAATAAGCCCAGGCTCTATTGAATTGTGCCTGCAACCCCAAACCCTAAACCCGAAACCCGAAACCCGAAACCCTAAACCCCTTACGCCTCACCCCTCAAACCCTAAACCCTACACCCCAAAACCCTAAACCCTAAACCCTAAACACTAAACCCGAAACCCGAAACCCTAAACCCTAAACCCTAAACCCTAAACCCTACCTTGCCCCCCCCCCCCCCCCCAAAGGCAAGGCACGATCTGGCTAAGTCCGGAGATGGACTCCGCCCACCCGACAGCGGTGTTAGAGTCCCCGGCCATGATGAAGAGGTAGGTGTCCTAGGAGTTTAGGGTTTAGGGTTTAGGGTTTGGGGTTTAGGGTTTAGGGTTTGGGGTTTAGGGTTTAGGGTTTGGGGTTTAGGGTTTAGGGTTTAGGGTTTAGGGTTTAGGGTTTAGGGTTTAGGGTTTAGGGTTTAGGGATTACCAAAATATAATCCTCGTAAACCCAGTGGAAGGGAAAAAGCTGAAAGCATCCTTAAGGCCTAAACCCTAAACCCTAAACCCTAAACCCTAAACCCTAAACCCTAAACCCTAAACCCTAAACCCTAAACCCTAAACCCCAAACCCCAAACCCCAAACCCTACCGAGAGTCGAAGAGGCCCAGCTGGGCAATGGAGGAAAACACCTCGGCTGGCCCCTTGGAACCCTCCGAAAAAGGGGTTCCTAGCTGTGGGCCCTCTTGAGAAGCCTTAGGTTGTAGGGTTTAGGGTTTAGGGTTTAGGGTTTTAGGGTTTTAGGGTTTAGGGTTTAGGGTTTAGGGTTTAGGGTTTAGAGTTTAGGGCTAAAATCCAGAGAGGGGGGTTTACGAGAACAAGGGACCCCATAACAGACCCCCGAATAATAGGATCCCCTTTAAACAAGGAGCCCAAGAAGTTTCGGAAATCCCCATGTGGACCCTCTTACTAAGCCCACTTTAAAGGCAAATGTTATCTAAGTTCTAAAAATATGTGTTAGTCCACACATCAAAAGTAGGACGACGGCAAGACGACGGAGGGACGACGGCAGGATGACGGGGGGACGACGGCAGGACGACGGGGGGACGACGCCAAGACGACGGAGGGACGACGGAGGGACGACGGGGGGACGACGGCTGTCGCGCCGTCGTCGCGCCATCGTCACGCCGTCATAAGGCCTAGTTTAAGCCCAAACTAGGCCTTATGACGGCGGAACGACGGCGGGACGACGACTAGAAACCATACCGCGCATATCTGTAGAACTTAGATTAAGGCAAATGGGTTTCAGGGTTTAGGGTTTAGGGCTTAGGGCTAGGGTTTAGGAAAAATGTCGAAAAGGATTCCCGAGGGCCGGCCTAGACACGGAGAAGATGCCATTGTACCACAGCAGCTTCCACACATTCGCTTGCAGCTCCTCTTCTGTCACGACCTTCTTCTCCTCTTTTGCCATGGCTTGGCGTCAGGGCAGCTGCAAGCCAAATGCTATCGAGCCGCGTCCCAAAGCGTTCCCTAACCCCTAAACCCTAAACCCTCAACCCCCGAACCCTAAACCCCACCTAACACAGACGTAGCATTATCGGTGCCGCAGGGCAACCTGATGTCTGGCTTCACGATCGAAGAACCCTTCTGCACGGCCCAAACTGTAATACTTGCTGTTGGTTACCAGGGAATGGGAGGAATTAGGGCCCTATATCTGCCCTTTATACTAGCCAACAGTAAGACTTAGTAAGAATATCACTTCCGGAGGCCAATCCCCCTGAAGCCAGGGCCTTCTGTTTCCGTTCTTTTACGTTGGTCTGTCTCTCTCCCTCCTCTCCTTCTCTATCTCGCTCTGTCACAAACTTCCCAGCCCTGAACTCTAAGCGCGATATGTGAGCGAGTGTTGCTCGCACCTTCAGCTGCTCCTTCATTTTCTCGGGCATGCTGTCGTACGGGCCTTGCGTTGGATTCAGGAGCTCAGTTCAGGGTTCATGAGGAGCCAAATGAGTGTCCCTAAGGCTACTTAAGGGGGCTTTTTGGGCTACTTCCCTTCGTGTGGCCCTTGACACCCTCCCCCCTAAACCCTAAACCCAAAACCCTAAACCCTAAACCCTAAACCCTAAACCCTAAACCCAAAACCCAAAACCCTAAACCCTAAACCCTAAACCCTAAACCCTAAACCCTAAACCCCGAACCATCAAGCCCAAGCCTTCCAAAAGGCCCGAGAAACCCTCAACCCCATGCCCGAACGCTCCCGAAAGCCCCCCCGCAAAACCCTTAACCCTAAACCCTAAACCCTAAACCCTAAACCCTACGCCCTAAATCCTAACCCCTCAACCCTCAACCCTCAAGCATCAACCCTAAACCTAAACCTCGAGATCTTCCTGAGTAGGGATAGGACTAGGGGGGACTCTTGGGGACATAGACCCACTCAATAAGGTCCCTGTTTAAGAGAGGCAGGAGAGGGCTGAGAAGGGTTCCCCTTTAAGGGTTCTAAACCTTAAACCCTAAACCCTAAAACCCCAAAACCCTGAACCCTGGCTGGGTGGACCAGAAATCTTTCTGAGCATGGGGCGGAGCCCCTGTCCTGGCAGGTCCGCCCGAAACGCCCAGGCGGCTTCCTCACCAGAATGATTTGAGGGGTTTAGGGTTTAGGGGTTTATGTTAGGGGTTAGGGGTTAGGGGTTAGGGGTTAGGGGTTAGGGGTTAGGGGTTAGGGGTTAGGGGTTAGGGGTTAGGGGTTAGGGGTTAGGGGTTGGCGTTTTGGGTTTTTTGTGGCTTGGCCTTGAAGGAGAAACCCGAAACCCGAAACCCTAAAGCCTAACAACTGCAAGCCCACCTGCAGATGGACCCCACCAGGATAGTCGTCGTCGTAGACGCAGACCATCCACTCCTGATGGCTGAAAAGCAGCTGGGCCCGACCGAAATGAGTGCCCCTTTTGGGGGAATCTTGTCTTTGCAGGGGAATCCTACTCTTCTAAGAATAAGTCAACATGCCCCGAAGCCATACCCACCGTAACCTATCAAAGGAGAATATAGGAAGGATTTTGCCATACCCCTTAAAAATGACCATGGGGTATGTTGAATATTTCTTAAAACAATCAGGCGTGCGACGGGGGGCCTGATGTGTTCAAGCCGCGGTCGTGAGAAGTCTAAACCACATGAGCCCTGTATATCGGAAATCCGTCTAACCCTCTAATCCCTAAACCCTAAACCCTAAACCCTCAACCCTCAACCCTAAACCCTATAAACCCAAAAACAGAGGCGCAGCTTGGGGGGGCCTTGCTGCGCCGTGCGGGCTCGGATTTCTGCTGCTCGGAAACAGGGTTTAGGGCTTAGGGTTTAGGGTTTAGGGTTTGGGGTTAGGGTTTACGGAAGCCGTGTGAACCCTAAACCCTGACGGGTGTTGCTGGTCCAACCCGGGATTTCGGTCGGGTGAACCTCTTGGTTTAAGAGCTACATACCTAGGGTGCCTAGGTTTCTCAGGGGGTTTAGGGTTTAGGTTAAAGGTTCAGGGTTTAGGGTTTAGGGTTTAGGGATTTTCCCGGACCTTGAAACCAGGGTCTCTGAAGCCTTGATTAAACCCCAAACCTCAACCCAAAACCCCCAAAGCCTAAACCCTAGACCCTGAAGCTACTCGGGCTTAGGGATTTGGGTTTTGGGGGGGGGGCCTCACCTCGCCTAAAGCCCTGAAGCCAATGCCATACACCAAACTCTAAAACCTCCCAGGCTCTTCCAAGCTTGACCCAGAATCTAAACCAGAAACCCTAAACCTAAACCCCGAACCCTAAACTAGCATGGTCGTCTGCAGGTCCTTGCACGATGTTTGCGTTCTGCGAAACGGGCACCCGAAACCCTGAACCCTAACTCGTAAACCCTAAACACCCTACAACTCCCCAAAGGCCCCTAGACCGCCTGAGCCCCCTGAGCCTCCCTAAACCCGCTAAACCCCCTAAACCCCCTCTAAACCCTGAACCCTAAAAGACAATGCGGTCTGGCGCCCAGATCCAGTCCGTCATGTAAGCAGGTTTTGGGGTTTAGGACTTTGGGTTTAGGGTTTAGGGTTTATGGTTTGGGGTTTAGGACTTTGGGTTTAGGGTTTAGGGTTTAGGGTTTAGGGTTTAAGGTTTAGGGTTTAGGTTTTAGGGTTTAGTGTTTAGGGTTTAGGGTTCAGGGCTTAGGGTTTAGGGCTTAGCTGCGCGGTCCACAACATCTCTGCCACACCATGACCCCCCCAAACGAAATGCGGATCCTAACATCTAACCCCTAATCCCCAAGCCCTAAACCCTAAACCCTAAACCCTAAACACCCGAAACCCTGCATCCTAAACGCGCCAAACCCGAACCCCTAAACGCCCCAAACCCTGAACACCCTAAACCCTCAACCCAAACCCTACACACCCGAAACATGAAACCCGAAACACCCCTGCAGCCACAAATTCCAAACCCTAAACCCTAAACCCTAAACCCTAAACCCTAAACCCTAAACCCTGCAGCCACAAATTCGAAAGACCAAGAGTCGAAGGGCTCCCCGGAAGGGTTCTGGAGCCCTGCGAGAGAAGTTTTAGGGTTTGGGGTTTAGGGTTTAGGGTTCAGCATCTCTGGTCCAAGCATTCACTAGTTGAGCAGCTTTCAAGGCCATAGGGGAATACCCACCCGCCCATTGGGTCCCACACCATTAGGAAAAAACATCCTAAACCCTAGGGCCCCGACCCCGTGAAAATCCTAAACCCTGGGGCCCCGACCCCCTGAAAATCCTAAACCCTCAACCTCTCTCTACCTATATAAATTTAAACCTTAAGGTGGAGCCAAAACCGGACCCCCCCCCCCGGACCCCCAGTGAAAAACCCGAACCCTGGCCCCTCGAGCCCGTGAAAAAAAAAACCAGTGAAAAGCCTGCACCCTGGGGCCCCGACGCCCGAGAAAACCTTGAGTTTGATGTTCGAGGGCGGGTTGGGGAAAATTCAGGTCCCTTACTAGGTCTCCCAAGCCAGTGAAAAACGGAACCCTGGCCCCTCGACGACAGTGAAAAACCCGAACCCTGGCCCTTCGAGGCCTTAAGAAAAAAAACCAGTGAAAAATCGAATCCTGGGGCCCCGACGCCCGAGAGAGGTTTTATTGGGTCTTCCGAAGCCAGTGAAAAACCTGAACCCTGGCCCCCCGACGCCAGTGAAAAACCCGAACGCTGGCCCCTCGAGGCCGTGAAAAACCCGAACCCTGGCCCCTCGAGGAAACAGTGAAAAACCGGAACCCTGGGGCCCCCACGCCTATGAAAAAGCTGAACAACCATTGGAAAACCTGAAAAACCAGTGAAAAACCTGAATCCTGGCCCTTCGAGAGGCCAGTGAGAATCCTGAACCCTGGCCCGTGAAAAAAAAACAGTGAAAAACCTGAACCCTGGCACCCACGCCTATGAGAAAGCTGAACAACCAGTAGAAAACCTGAAAAACCAGTGAAAAACCTGAACCCTGGCCCCTTCGAGAAGCCAGTGAAAATCCTGAACCCTGGCCCCTCAAGCCCGTGAAAAAAAAAACAGTGAAAAACCTGAACCCTGGAGCCCCCAAGCCTACGAAGAAACTGAACCATCGGTGGAAAACATAGAAAACCAGTGAAAAACCTGAACCCTGGCCCTTCCAGAGGCCAGTGAAAATCCTGAACCCTGGCCCCTCGATGCCGGTTTGTGTGCAAATCCACGAAGGTTTGTGTGCAAATCCACGAAGGTTTGTGTGCAAATCCACGAAGGTTTGTGTGCAGATCCACGAAGGTTTGTGTGCAGATCCACGAAGGCCAAAACATTATATAATGTTAATGGCCTTCGTGGATTTGCACACAAACCTTCGTGGATTTGCACACAAACCTTCGTGGATTTGCACACAAACCTTCGTGGATTTGCACACAAAACCGTTGAAAAACCTGAACCCTGGCCCCCCGAGGCCGTTGAAAAACCTGAACCCTGGCCCCTCCAGGACGATTTGTGTGCAAATCCACGAAGGTTTGTGTGCAAATCCACGAAGGTTTGTGTGCAAATCCACGACGGTTTGTGTGCAAATCCACGAAGGGGTTTAAGGTTTAAATATATAATGTAGGAGAGGTTTAGGGTTGAGGGTTTGGGGTTGAGGGTTAAGGGTTTGAGGGGGTTTAGGGGGGTTACTTCCTTAGGGTTCAGGGCTTTGGGCTCAAAATCTTTGTAGGGTTTAGGGGTGCTCAAAGCCTTTGAGGGGTGAGGGTTTTACAGTTACGGTAGATGTTTTTGGAGTGGGGGGGGGGGGGGGGGGGGAGGGGAGAATATCTTTCGGTTTTAATAAATATCGGAGTATGTAGGGGTTGCCCAATTCGGCCCAAACCTTTTATTCCTAAACCCCAGGCGCCCGGGACTCCTAACAGCAGGGAACGCGGGAATTCGGCACCTCACATCCCCCTACATGTGACCTGTTCAGCCTTTTTTTCGGGAAACCCTCAACGCGAAACCCTA